CGTCCACCTTTTGTTTAGCTACAGGTCGAGCCTCCGGGCAGAGACGAAGGAGGCCGCCGGTCCGCGAAGCTCCTCAGATTTGCACAGTGAATGTTGTCACATCTTTCGCCCGTGTAGACCTGGATGTGCTGTCTGAGGCCAAACCGTCGAGCCCTGCAGTTTGCGTCACGGCCGCCGCGACCTTGGCTGAATCTAAAAAAAAAAAAGCCCGGTGGACATTTTGGGCCCTTGATTTAATTCATCAAATAAGTGCCTTTTCAGCTCTGCCTCGCCGGCATTACAAGGTCCACAATAATGGACCTCCGAAAGCACAACGTGCATCATGGGTAGTTTGGACGGAGCTGCGGCAGCAGCGTGGAGCTAAAAGCCTTCGCCTGCTGGCTGAACGCAACACGGACGCTTGATGAAGAGACCACACATCTCCCTTTACTGAAAAATACAGTAAAACGGAAAAAAAATGGAGGAAAACTGACAGTATAGAGGAGCAGAAATCCCCATGAATTCATACCCGCCGTAAACCCCCCCCCCCCCGCTGTGCGGCATTCGCTCCACGCACGCTGCCACACTGCGGATTAGCACTTTGCTGTTCAGATTCTCTTAATTGGTATATTTGAGTGAATTAAATGACGGCGGGATTAATACGTTCCTCATTTTTTGCTCGGGGCCTCTTGAATTACCTTCGAGAGCCAAACGATGGAAACCGTCGCTAATCCAACGGCTTCTTCACGCGAGGAGACAGAAATAAAAAGAAAAAAGGATTGTGCATCTGGTGTCACCTGCTTAAAATGTCAGGTTAACAGCCGCGTGGACGCGCCAGCGAGAAATTCCTGAAGAATTTGCAAGCACGGCAGGCGTAGAAAAAAATAAAAAAATATTTTTTTTAAAAAGCACACGAGAGCCAGTGGGCGAAGTGGGTATTACTAATTTAACATAACTGCTTAAGGACAGGTTTAAGTGCTACAAGTCATTTTTTATTTAGCGCAGACAGTGAGGGAGATGTGTTTACTGAAACGTCTGATTCACATCCGAGGTTAAAGTGTTAACTCGATAGTCGCTGGGCCCAAAAACGTGGAGCTTGCAGCTCTTGTTTTTTTTTTTTGGTTGCTTTGTGTGGGATGAATCGTGTGTCACAGCCACGTGGTACAATTATCATCATGTCTCCTGAATACGAGACTCACAGAGCAGCCGGGGATTCCTTTTCTCTCAAAGCCCGACGTAAAGCGAATGAAAGAATTGATTAACGCTGGGCGTCGCTCAATCGGGCAGCGAGGCTCGGGGGCAAAAAAAAAAAAGTCGGGAGGCAGAAGCTTTAATTCTAATCGAAGTAAAATAAGTGACCCGATAACGCTGTGAGCTGGTCTGTGTGAGGCAATATTCTGCTAATTCCAGCTCGGATCTTTACGAGCACAGATGGGTTTCGGTCTGCTTTCATGAAAGAGGCCATCCGTTATTGCCCCCCCCCCCCCAAAAAAGACGATAACAGTGTGTCATTGCCCCGAGCGAGTGGATCCCTGCCGAAGGGGCTTTTATGAGAAAAGGACAAATGAATGAGTTTTCTCCACAGGGTAGAAATCAAATTTAAGAAATAACGGTTTGGTTCTCTTTTTTTTTTTTTTAATGGGTTAAAAGCTCCGACGCGATTAGCAACGATTCCACCTTCTTTTTGACGCAGTTTTGGATTCAAATCATAAATCGATGGCTTGCTGGCGGGAGCCGGAAGCACAGACGGCGTTTCTGGGTTCTGCTTTCGATCGCGACCAGACTCCTCGCGTTAGCCACTTTTCACTGACGCCTTATCCCCCCCCGTCCCGTCCCCCCGTCCCGTCACAGACTGTGTGCGCGCCTGACTTAAACCCAACGAAACAACAGAGGCCTCTTTAGCGTCTGCGGTTTGGTCACTGAAGTCAGCGGCGGCCCAATTTGTAAAGCGTTTGTTTCCCTGCGTATAAATCAATACGACTGATATCCAAACTGTACGCTCAGCAGATGTGTTGGCTGCGGCCTCGACGAGTCCTGGACAACATTATTTATTGATTTGGGGGAGGGGCGGGGAGGGCGGGGGGGGTGAGGACGCAGGCGTGGCCTCCGTCTGCTTTTGGTTTCGCCGCCGAGGATCCAACATCTTCCTAAGAAAGACGGTCTGAAGAAGAAGAAAACCGTGGACATCCTACAGGTAGCGAAGGGAAAAACAGAGCGACAGAGTTTAGAGGTGTTGAGTAAAAACAGAAGCAGATCGTGGAGCCCAAAGATGAAGCACGGGAGCTTTTTCGGGAGAGGAAGCGTTGCGGCACAATCGCGAGTCGCTGACGCACGAAAACACCACGTGCGGTTTTTTCCCCCACGAAACAACCGCCGCCGTGGTGACGAGGGAGACGCCGTCACTCAGACGGCAAAGACGGGGATTAAGAAAGAGGGGAGCCGGCGTCCTGAGGCAGGTGTCCACAAATCACAGGAGGAACGTGGATTCATCCTCATCCTCCGTGAACGGATTTAAAACAGGAGACAAACGGTGTCGTCTGCTGCGGTTGTGTCAGTTTCCTTCTTTTAATACGACTACGAGGCATCAATTAATCCGCCGATTACTGGATGAAATTAGATGCCGAGTGGAGCTCCAACACAACATGAGACAATGAAGGTTGTGTTGGCAGAGTCGCGGCTCTCGAACCGCAAATGGTGCTTTTCATTCAACGTAGTAAATTCATTTCTATTGCAGCTCAGAACAGAAAAACACTCTCGCGTGTTTTCATGACTCAAGGAACTTTAGCGCTTGTGACATTAAGGTCTGCCAAGAAAGGGAGGGGGGGGGGGGGAGACGGGGGAGACGATCATAAAAGAAGCGACGTACTCCTTTCAGCCGCAACCACCGGCGGGCCCTGGAGGTCCTCGGCGGAGGTCTCGCACATCACGCTACACGCGGAGGGCGCCGGGCCTTCACAAAAGGGTCCTTTCAGACCCGACGAAGGACGCCGTCCTCAGAATTCCCTCCACAGCGGCGAGAGGAGAGGAGAGGGACGCTCTGGCATCGGCCGTGGCCTGGACCGGCTATCGCACGCAAGGGCACTCGACCCAAAAACACGGCAAGCGGGGCGGCCGGGAACATCTGGGGGAGAAGCTCGGGATCCACCAACGCAGTCAGTTTTCTCAAAATGAATTATTTCATTAAATGGAACTACGCACACGTTCTGAGGCTCGCGCTTCAACAAAAGGACTCCAGGCTGCTCTCGCTCACACAGATTGGGTCTAAATAAGACACTAAACGCCACGCGGCGTAGATCGACAGCGCCAAACGCAACAGCATCGATCGCTTATGCAGCCGCGAGGCGACGCCGCTCAGTGTTCTCCATAGAAATGGAGCTCCCAGCATGCAGTGCTGCGCCGCCGCTGCTGCTCCACACACTTGGGTCCGTGTAGCGCCGCCATTTATCCCGGGTTAACCCAGACGCGCCCACCGAACGGGGCGAACCGGGACCAGGAGTCCCGACCACAGGGACTCGCAAACATCTAGATCATCTGAACTAGATGTCTCACCTTCTCTAAAAAGAAATAGGGTCTTTGACCTCAACGCAAATCCTCACTACAGTTCAGGAAGTTTCCACGAAGGTCCGACTTTCAGTTGACGCTGTCATTTATTTCTCAAGCTTCTCACATTCTGGTAAGTTGAGATTTGGATCGCCGCTCGGACAAAAGGAGACCTTCTCAGATGAGCCTCGGGCGCAGGAAGGATGAGCGGTCACCTGGTCTTATAGAATGAAACGACTCAAACGTTCTTTCTGAAGACGACATGATGATTATTTCCTTCATCAGCTGTTTGATTTTTAAAAGTTTGTACCGGCAGCAAAGTCAAAGACCTTCAAACTGCACACAACTGTTAACGAACAACACGGGCGTATCACAGCAACACAATAAGCGACAGCTCATCAGCACACGCTGCGATCTCAAGAGCCCTCGTCCTTATCTGCTGCAGGAACGCCGCTCTGCACCCGACCTCCGACCTCCAGGTGGAGGAGATGCTAGAAGTCCCTCCGGGCGGCGACGGAGCGTCCCATTAAAGACCATCAAAGCTGAACCATTAGCCCGTCAGCCGATCGGTATGAACAACCTGGGGATCAGCGTACGAGAGGGGGGGGGAAAGAGGCCGGGCCTCGCACGCCACCTCCCAGCACGCCGAGGCGTTTCTTTTGTTCGCGGCTGAAGAAATGCTGAGGCGAGGCGGGTGGGCGGCGAGGGGAGGGCGACTTAAGAGGAACGGTTTACAGAAAGAGGTGAATTGTAGGATTGGAAATCCGCTACGGCGCCGCCATCCGCTCGCAGTGCAACATTAATGAAAAAAGTATGTAGGAGGAAAAAAAAGAAAAAAGATGAGTTTCATATGAAAGGATTAGTGGGTTTTTTTTTTTTTGCAGTTCAACCGGATCACTGCGACATGCGCGCAGATCATCTTCTGGGATGTTGGACTTGGATTTGGTGCACTTGGCTGCGTCGCTCTATGTAGGACACGCTACATAAGAGTCCTCCCACGTCCAACGAGACGACTTAAAACACGCGAGAAACCAAGAGGAGGTGGGAGACAGCTGTGGATACTGTGTGTGTTTGTTGTTTGAGCAGGCGTTGGTGTTTACCTGTGCGTCCTTTGTGCTCACAGATGCGGATAGCGCCGCGCTCACCTGATAGGACTATTTACACCTGTGCACAGGGAACGCGTGCATCACCGTGTGTGCAAACCAATGGGTCACCGTTGAACTTACAGCAACCTCACGGATGAGGGACAACAAAAAAAAAAAAAAAACATTCCTGCGGACAGCTGGTCTCGTATTTGCTACCAGGATTAAGTCTCTGTGTGTTTTTGCATCTTCCTTTAGAAGAAATGAACAACCACAAGCGGCAGCAAAACCTCTGCAGCTGCATTCTGCACAAATTTGGCACCACCACTTCTATGCAACACAATTTGGATGCTGAATCCAGGCTGGGTTTGGGGGGGGGGGGGGAGGAGAGACACTCACCACACGAAAGCGCCGCCACAGAGACGAGGACGGCCCATCTGCAGTCCCGTGCACCTGACATGGCAGAAATCCCAGCGGGGCGGGGTGTTACAATCCCAGTTGGTCCGGTGGCCGGCGGTGGGGAAATCAAACCGCTCCCCCTGCGGGTGTCTTGAGTCCACGCGGTGAGCTCCTGCGGCTCCTCCGAGGCAGGGGTCGTGGGTGGTCTCGAGTTGGAGCGCTGCGCGTATCTGCACGATGCGGGGCTCCTCGAGCGCGCGCCTCTCCGGCTACAGTGTTGCGCGTATGAGACGGAAAACCCGCAAAGACGGCGGCAGAAGAAAGTTACAGGTACCCCCCCGCTCAGGCTGAGGGGACAGCTGGTGAAAGTCCAAGGCCGATAAATGCCCCCCACCAAAAAGACCAAATCATAAATCAATGGGCATCAGTTGGGAGATGACGCGCGCCTCCCCACCTCAGAGACAGAGGGGGGTGTAGATCAGCGGCTATGAGAAAAGCGCAGAAGACGCCGCAGCGAGATCTGCGTGACGCGATTATTCTCCTTAATTCTATTAAGTGAGGAATTTAAAAAAATGAGGAGGGGGGGAAAAAAAATCCCCGGCTCTCGCCTGTAATTTTGAAAGAAAAAAGGTAAGAAATCCGCACGCGCGGTTCGGTTTCCTTCGGTTTAAATTATCAGGCTTCATTTTACAGGGGGGGGGGGGGGGGCAGGAGACGGGGACATGAACCCAGAAGGGTCCGGCTTTGCTGCGGCAGCGACGAGGAGGGGGGAGGGAGGGAGGGAGAGGGGGCGCTTTTGTAGTTGACCTACCGCAGCGTGTTGCGACCCGTCACTCAACCGGACCCGCGCGAGGAGAGGGCGGCGGGGGGGGGGGCGGGCAGCTAAAAAGTCCTGCTACTTTCTAGTTCCGCTTCACTTTCTGCGCGGCGTTAGTACCGGAGAGCCGGGGGGGGCAGCGGAGCATCGTCACCGGGGAGTCTGAAACACGGCCAAGTCTCCCACCAACTCCGGTCGGAGCCGAGGCGAGGCGGCGGTCTGCGGCGCGTCCAGCGGCCGGGCGCGGGGCTCCTCCGGGCGGCTTGTCTTCACTGCCGCCGTCGGTCGTGGTCCGGTTTCTTTCTTTTTCCTCCTCAACTCCGCTCCAAACTAAACGTGTTCACGTTAAAAACGTGCAGCTCGCGCTCAAGTCGGCTACAATGTATAAGCTCATATCCGGTGACTTCTTTCAAAGTAAAATATTGAAGAAAATGTGCAAATTCTAGATTTTATTTTTTCAGCAGAGGGATATAATATTAATATTTCTTTCTGTAAATGCACGGCAATGCAATGTCATAGCATAGCATAGTAGATCATCATAATTAGTATTATCCCAGTTATGATTGTGGAGAGAATATTGTTTAGTATTGCATCTGCTGTTTACTTTATTACATACATAGTGCGTATGTGCATATACACACATGAGGATTACAAGCAAAAATGAAACTCTGAATATGTTAAAAGCAGACTAAAGTGTGCGTTCGTCCAGGAATTGAGTTAAGATGGCAAAATACTGACAGAGATGAAGCCCTAAAAATCTATGATATTTGATCACTGACACAATTAATATAAAATGCATTTAATTGAATGCCAGCTGAAATCACATACACTTGATGTATATTTATACTGACCTGAATATCAGGGTTGAAACCCAAACGTTTGTATGCTTTTATTTTTAAGGGCCCGGTGACCGACTTCCGGTCTTGTCCATACTGACTATGTTGAACTTGATGTTTCCCAAACCGGCCATCGCAGACAAATCTATCACGTGAGTGGCTCACCCGCCTCCTCTTCATCGAGAGGAAAATATCCCACCGAAGATGAAAAATCTCTCCCTCTCTATGTGTAGATATATTTAAACATCTGTATTCTGCCGTCTGCAGTTATGACTCCAGCTGTTGAGGCAATAGGAGCGTGACTACACGACTTTAATGTCTAACATGAAGCAATGTGGCTCTGTGATTTCTAGCTATTCTCACAGCCAATCAAGGTTGACCCGAGGAACACTGGTGGCACTTTTAACACTGACAATGGCTGCGTCCCGTTTATGTGTGCCAGCTCCCTTGTGACGCGCGGCCATCGTGCGTGGTACACCTGCTTTCTGCAGAAGCATCGTGCGTGTTTGTCCTCGGAATAAATCTAAACATTGTCTGAGAATTAGTTTTTTTTATTATTCCACAATGTTGTTATCTCGGCAATTCTAGAAATGTGATCGTAGAAAAAAAACAATGCAACTATAAAATTCTGCGGTGATTCTCATATGAGAATAGGGAGAGTTTTCATGTGAAAAATGTTCTGCTGTTTTTCTAAATTATTGAGTTTACTGAAAATCCCAAGAGAAGCCCGATCTCATTGAAAGCAACCCGTTGTACTTTGATTACACTGTGTCTTAAATAATAAAGATTTTTCTCCCTTTTTGCAGAGGAACCTGGAGCAACCCGCTGTGATCTGCTGGACGTGGCGGTGTTTCTGCAGCGTCGGTGGACGTGATGTGGCACGCGTCACGTAAGATGATGCATCCGAGATGCTTTCTGACTGACTGTGAAGTGATTCAAGAGACGTTTGGGCTGCTGCGCCTCAGCTGCTCTCACATCATGCAGAGCTTTCTCAGTGCGAGATTAAACCAAACAGGCGGCACACGTTTGCCTCCATGAAATCCAGCTCTCAAGTAAATAAGAATAACAGCTTTTTATCAGAATTGACAAGCTTATTATCTCATTGATTTAGAAAAACAGCGTTTCCCTATTTAAATGTTTCTCAAATATAACAAATAAAATACCTTGGTGATTTAGAAAAAAATGCTGATTTATTTCTTACCGTTTCTCCGAATCAGCAAAATTCTAATTATTTATTCAGAAAAAAATATCTTTAAATATTTTTTAAAGAGTGCAAAGCAATACTTTTCTTACGCAAATGAATGCTTTCATCTTCTCCATTATGTCAGGTCAAATGTATGCAGTTGGAAAGATCTATTATGTGGTCAAAGGAGAAGGCTAATGGGTTAATTATCTCGCATAAAGTGCTTTCAGACATTGGTGCAAGGTTTAAGTATAGGCATCCATTATGTAAATGTTCAAATATGGCAGAATAGGACAGAAAAGAGTTTTTTTTAGCTCTCTCGCAGGCGGCAGTGGGGGATTTTAAATCTATTTATTTGGTGATATTTGCCACTCATTGTGTATCAGAGAGGGAATTCTGTTGCCGTTTCAATAACAGCGACCAATGAGAGCGCACAATGTCAGCAAGCCGAGTCTGGACTCAGCTTTAATTTGCTATAATATATAATAATATGTTTGGCTGAGCAGTCGGACTTTGATCTTCGCCGTTGGCGTGCATGGACATTTAGAACATGGAGGGCGAGTGTTTGTGCAATTATTGTTGCAGTTGTAAGCATTTGGAAGATGAAAGAGGAAGCCATCGGGTCGCCACAGACGAACAAGGATTCATGGAAATTCAGCTCTAGCTCGTTTGTGACAATAAAGACACGACGGACTAAACAAAACCAAAAAATCGCAACGGTTTTGTTTCCCTCGTTATCGTTATTTCGGAAAAAATGACGAAGTTTAGCAAAGAATGTTGAAAATATAATGACGTTGCTTCTCAAAATATTGATTGGCATCCCGGATGAATGACTGACCGTCTCAGAATAATGAGTTTGCATCTAAAAGGGCTTTGATTCGTTCGTCTGTGCCCACTGTTGCTGGTCGACCACGAAGCTGCACATCTTATTGTTCAGTTCTTGTTTGCTTCCACAACGTCTTCCAGGGGCGACGCTGACAGACACACTAAACGACAGCAGCCCCCCACTTTCAGCCGCTGGTCCACCAGGGCCACTTATGACCTGGCGAGGCGGCGTGCCGAGGCTCCGCGCAGCAGCAGGCGTGCAGGGCGGACCCCCCCCCAGGCCCCCCCAGATCCCCTGCTAATGATGTGCTAAAGCATTTGACTTTGCAAGACGCCTTTTTATCCTTTGACCTTTAGAGAAGTACTTATAGGCCAGTGGAGAAGTTCTTTCTCCGGCTTCTCGGCCCCTCATCCGTCTCCCTTGGTGGTAAATTAGGAGCTTTGTGGGGGGAAGTTAATACCGCGTGCAATTATATGAAAATGGGATTGTTTTTATACGAAAACAATGGAGGGATATTCATTCAAGTCACACCTTTCTCCATTGCACCTTTACATTATCACTTTCCTAATTCATATCATTGATTTTCTCACAAACACGTTCTTCAGCCAAGCGTGCAGCACATTTTCATTTGAGAAATGCTTTTGCATATCACATCTTTTTGCCCTGAATGCTGCAGTTGGGTACCGTGCTATTTTCGACGCTTGTGCAGCTGTTGGACACATCTTTATCTTTCAGCTGTGAAGGACGTAATGTGTTGATGTTATTCCAACCCATCCACATCTTATTATTATATCGGCGATTTGAACGTGAAGATTTTGCCTCATTATGTCTCTTTTTCCACACTGTGTTCTATACAGAGGGGAAGGACAATGTTTCTACCCACTGACCAGCAGGGGGCGACTCCTCCGGTTCCATAGACGTCTATGAGAAAAGGACTCTACTTATCTTTCTATTTACTCCCTCACTAAACATTGTAAACATGAGTTTACCGTCTCAACATGTAGTCTTCTCGAAAGATGGTCCATTTAGAGTGAAACCGACCACAAAGCAGGACGCGCTTCAGGGCTCAGAGCTTTTAAATGCTGCAGATGCTGCGGCAACACACTCGGCCTGCAGACACACCTCTTCCGTACCATGAAACACGAGAACTACACACTTTTCTTTACTTCTCAGAGGGAAATGTTCTGCTTGCATGCGTGTGACGTGTTGTGATATTGCTGTCCTGACCAGGAAGCACGTGCGTGTTCAGGTGAATCTTCAGAGCTGAATGCTGGAATGTGAAGAATGAAATGGGTGGGGGTGAAAACAGCACCATCCCGGAGAAGAAACAGCCCCCACCTTTATGCACCAACCACCTGGTTAGGGGATACATGGATGGGAAATGGGATTATTGCTTCCCAAGTCTCTGTACTTTTTCATTTTCTTGTCAGAACTTCGTGGGAATTCTGCCGTATTAAATTCCAACACAAGGATTGTGTGAGACTTTCAATCATTTACATTTACATTTCAATGTAGATACAGTTGGCTTTATGCCTCAATGAGTGAATATAAAAAAGCATGCATAGTTTGTCTTCATCTTATAACTAGTGCACTTTAATTACAACACATCATTAATGATCACCGTTCATCACACTTCATCATAAGATCTAAAACAGTTCATGTGGTCCAATTCTCAAGATATTTGCCTCAGTCGGCTGCATCACATTAAGATGTTCATTTACTACCTGACAGGAGAAAAAACTCCCCAAAAACCCTCTTTGGGGAGAAAATTGGGAGAAATCCATAAAGGACGACAACTAGCATCCGTCCCCAGGTTTTAACATCACATTGTGACAGAATGTTAATGTGTACAGTGTTTATATGATTTAAATGACTATACATTGTGTTTGATTCAAATTGCATTCAATTCATCTAACATGTTAATGTAATAACTAATATCTAATAACACACAAACTATAATTCTATCACTAAACATTATTACACGTATTATCATTCCCACCACTAGGGGCGCACTTCTGGCTTAAATCCCTAACATCTCCCTAACAGCAGCGTGATCTCCGAAAGCTGCTCGTAAAAACGGGTACGAAAATCTTGAACACACAAATTGGTAACAATACACAGGAAGTGGCGGCGGTTAACCACGCCCCCTGAGTGGACAACATGGCGGACCATGTCGGATTCTTGAGTGAACGTCTCTCCGCCACGTTGGATTTTTTGAGGGGGTTAGGGTTAGTATTCTATTCTTACAAGTTAACATTGATTTCTCGTTAAAAATGCAATCGTAACACGTTTATTTTACATGGTTAGACTGCAGGTCGCCGTTCACTTTGATCATCAGCTGCAGTCCGTATTTATTTTGTATGTATCACTACGAATTTGTATGTTCAAAGATTTTCATATACATTTTTACCAACAGGTTTTGGAGATCAGGCTGTTTGAGGAGAGTCATGTTTCTAGACGTTATTTTCCTAGATTGACCTCCGTGACAAATTTGTGAAAAAACGTCTCCGTTCTGTGAGAGAGGGCGAACTATGGTGACCAAAGAGGAACCGTATGACTGACATCGGGGGAAACATGTAAGATGAGGTGAGAAATGAATGTGAAAAAAGCCCTCAGGGCTCCTCTTACATCGCTCGCACCTCTCTGACCTCCGCAGCGACGACTGGACATGTTTAAGTGAACAGCGGGGATCTTTCCAGGCGGATCCCCAGTGAGATCAGCGTCGGGCCAGAACCGACGTCCCAGCAGGTCGACTCTCCCGTGGACATGTTCGCGTTCCCGTGCAGCCCCAGGACGGCCGCCAGGCCTTTGCCACGAATATGCGCCAGGCGCAATGTGACCGCGTTTGAATATCCTCATCAAGGACACGAACCCCCGTGTTTCATTCATGGAACCATGAATCCGCGGCTGAACTTCACACCTTTACCGAACGGTGCGGAGAACCCAACAGCTCCGCCGTGTTCTCCCGGTGCGTGGGACGAAATGAGGAGAACGCAAATGAGAGGCCACGAAAAGCCTCAATCGAAGATACACAAGCAGGACGACGGTGCGGATGGATGCGAGTCGTGGAGACGGACCAACGGCAACAAACGGGCGGCGCGTCGGCTCCTGGATTCGTTGGCTCGTTACTTCGATAGGACCCGTCTTCCCCGCCGTGTTTTCCGATATCTGTTGCAGATATTGTTGTTCCAGAGGTACTCGACACAGATGATGACCCTCACCCTCTGCAGCGCAATAAACGGTCTCTGTAGATGTTACATTTTAATTGAACGCCTTGAAATATTTTTCCCCGGCAGCGCTTGATGACGTCACGTCGCTAAAAACTTCGACAGCTGTCTGTGCTCCAGTGAGCAGATTTGGCGGCATAAACGAACCCGGTCGTAAACTTGTTTTTCATCAGGAGTTACCGACGAATTTAATGACGCACTTCTGGCTGCCGGAGTAAACGTGGTTAATAACATTAGCAGACTTTTCGTTCGGTCACTTTCTCCGGGACGACACGGGGAGATGTTTATCGCAGAGCCGGTAAAGCTTGTGGAACATCTCGGGTTCCCTCCAAAAAAAAAACCACTACTGTGCACGAGGCTTTTGTCCCAACAGCATCAGCCCGCTCACCAAGTGTCCTCAGGAGAGGAAGCGAGAGGAGAAGCATTAGAGAGCCTGGACACGCTCCTCTAAGTGCACCAAACGCATTCAATCGGGGGACGAATAGATGAGTAATGCGTCACATTACCGCTTTTGTTTCACGTTCCCCGTTTCCCCTTCTTATAGCTTTTGTAGGAACAAGCCGGTGCTGTTGTGATATCATTCTTTAAAGAGCAAAAAACATTTGTTTTTCGACCGGCGTCGCGTCTCCTTTGTCTTCATGTGATTGTAAAATGGTCGATGTGTGAGCTTTATAAAACCAAGCGTTCGGTGCTGCGTGTTTTAAATAATCACTACGGCCTTTGGAGTTCTTCTCTCTCCGCCGAATAGGATTATTAATAAAAGTGATAAACTTTTTCAGACACAAGGATTGTGGGTAGTGTAGTGCTTATAAAACACGCCGTTGTTTGGCCTGCTTACTTTCCCGGCACCAAGCGGTTAATACCGCGACCGGAGTCGGATTAGCCAGAATACATTATGGTCCAAACTGCACTTCTCATCCCCTTTGAGCGGAGACAGGGGAGCTGGGCATTAATATACAGCACTCAACGGGGGGTTTTATCCACATTTCTGCTCCTGTATATTCATGTATTTCAGTGCTGAATATATGAATCCCCTTTTTTTTAATTTGAATTACTTAATTTTGAATTATTTGATTTACATTTGTCGAGGAGCGACGGATGGATCCCCAGCGCCGTGCTTTCAGTGTGCGATGATTCGCACCAGGAGCTTCGTTTCGGAATAACAAGTCGTAGTTACAGCTAACAATAAAACGGCTTTATTCCCCCCCGCGCCCCCCAAAAAAAAGGTGTCATTCAAGATTCACAGGGACACAATACCGCCAGTGTTCTTAGCTCGGCGAGGCCGCCTGAAGCCACCAAAGCTGCGACAAAAAAAAGATCATAGTAATCCTGTTTACAAGACTGGAGGAATCACTTTGACCGTCCAGAGCTCTGCGACATTTTTCACTTTTAGCTCTAAAATGTTTCCGAAAGGAAATCCTTCCAGCCGGTGATCTGATTTAACGCGGATTGTGCTGCTTCAAACAACGTTTACTCTCATTTATGTTTGGACGCTCACAGCCAGGCTGGTTGTTGTTCTTATTTTCACCCAATCATTAATTGGTCGCCATCCCCCATATTTATTACTCAAACCAGGAGACCCTGGACGACCATTGGAAGAATCCATTTGTTTGTAAAATATCCCCGAATGGTCCCAGATGTTCCGCGTTGTCCTCTCTGTTCCTTGTAATAGACTCTTGGCAGAGTGGATCTCCTCGGTCCGCTTTGGGAGTGTCTCTCTCTGAGAATGTGGTCTGAACTTCTGGAGAAACTGCATTTAATAGATACATTACGGTAATGGTCGGTGTTGAGGACGATCGACACATCCGGCCTGCTCCCGCTAATAGACTCATTAGGGAAACAAGTCCTTCTGTGGGCGGCAGGACGGACGCGTCCGTGACGCCCGCGATTATAACAAACAAGCCGAGTGGAATGAAATGTGAGAGCGACTTAATGGCTGCCGGGAAGCGGAGGGATAAAACTAACAAAGCGCTCTTTGAGTTGTTGTTACTGACTTTGAGAGGCGTTTTTCCTGCTGCCTGGTTTCTGCTCGTACTTTGTTTACTCACTGATTCCAAGTCCGACTACGATCGTGCTTGTGTTGCCTGACACCTGGTCAGGTTTTTGACGGATGGAGCTCGACGGGCTCAAGTGCAAACAAGGCGTCGTATCAGTTTGCTGTGCAAAGGGTCTCCCTCGCTGCTTCGCCAACAACAAAGTCTGGATCTCATAGTTAAACTCAACAATCCCATTAAGCTGTCAGCCCGGCCGTGCACACGCCTGGCTGACTTTGCGTTCCCAACATGTCTCTTTCCCCCAAATTTGTTCTTGGCCGTCTCGCTGGAAGGTGTGTGCCCCCCCGTGTCTCTATCACAGTTATCCTCAGCAGTCATTATGCACCGACCTCCGACCTCCAACGACGCCGACACAAGGCGTCGCGACTTCTCGGACTGGTGCATAAAGACATCCACATCGTTTTTAAAGGACTATTTCCTGATTCCTCGTGCAGGTGCGTCGATGAACTCAGTCTGCAAGTCGGCCTCTCGGATGCGCTGGAGGCCATTTTCCCCCGACGGGCATCGCGGGGCCGACGGATGGGACCGCGCACCCCTGATTCGTCACAACGGGGTCACGCAAAAGGATGCCTTTTCACGCTACTGTCCACACCCTTGTGGGAATCATGGAGGTTTGCGTTTTCGTGGCGAATGCCCGGTCACGCCCCTTAGCTGGGGTGGGCGTGCTTTGTATCCGCTCTATTCCTTTAGGGACCGGGACGTCCCATCGGTAAATAGTGTCACACCAACAGCAGTGAGGGAGAGGACTTTTGGTGGCGGTGCTGATGGTCCCCGCTGTGGGCACGGAGCCATCGCTTAATGCAGATTGTTGGGCTCCCCGCCCTCCTCCTCCTGCTGCTGCTCCAGGAGCCGGTTCCCCCAGAGGAGACATTTCATTACTTCACCCCCGACTGCGACGCCTCGCCTTATAGGCCTGCGAAGGTTTGGTCTGAATGCGGCGCGGCTCATTCGTGTGATTGCAACGCAAGGGCCATGACCACGGCGTGCAAGATTAGAGGTTATTTCACTGCCGTGACGGCAATTTCTCATTTTCCCCAGGAAATGATAGATAAGGAAGAATCGTCATCTCCGGCCCGGCCGCGTGTACGCTGCCAAACTGTGGTGATCAATCATCGGTGCCTTCGATGATCCTCTGATGATCAGGACATGAAAAAGGCATCGAACAAACTTCCCAAGGAGAAAACCGAAGGCGAG